TCAGGGTAAAATAGCTCATAGGGAAATAGCCATTACTGGCTAATCATTTTGGCCTATAGCACTTACTACTCCCGGTCCCAATTGTACCATTAGCAATTATATAAATGGTTCCACAGAACAGGTACTAATGGGGAGCTGTGCCCCCCTCAATCCTCTTGATGCCCACTGCAAACCTCTTACTCTGTCTCATGGCATTGAAGTTATCTATTAAAATAGTGTCTCCTTAAGTCACATTTGTTCTGCAAGGTCAAGAACTAGTCTTTTCACTATTTCCCCAGCTGTGCCCATCAGTTGCCTGGCATGAAGCAGGCACTCAACAAATGTCTGAATAGAATTATTTTTTCTAACCAATTTTTCTTCCCAATGACTTAACAAATGGCTCTAACAGGAGAAATTTAGATTGAATTGATCAGTCAGAGTTCAAGCATCAAAAACTAAGTGTTAGTGACTTAAAAGTTTTCTAACTTAATTTTCTATACTGCAGCCACTTTTTTTCCTCAGAAAATAAAAAGAACTACCATAAGATCAAGCAACCCCATTTCTGGGTATTTATCCAAAAGAAATGAACACAGGATCTCTAAGAGGCTTCTGCACTTTCATGTTCACTGCAGCATTAGACACACTGCCCTGGACAGGGAAACAACCTGAGAATCTGCAGATGGATGGATGGATGGATGGATGGATGGATGGATGGATGGATGAAGAAATGTGGTACAGGTACACGATGGAACATCATTTGCCAGGAGAAAGGATGAATCCTGCCATTTGTCAACATGGCTGGACCTTGAAGGCATGCCTGGTACCACTTACATATGGAATCTTTTTTAAAAAAAAAAAGCCAAACACATAGAAACAGTAGAAAAGTGGTTTCCAGAGGCTGGAAAGTGGGGGAAATAGTAAGAAGTTGATAAAAAGGTATAAACTTCCAGCTATAAGTTGAATAAGTGAGGGTCTAATGTAAAACAAGGTGACTACAGTCGATAACATTGTATTGCAGAATTTAAATGTACACACACACACACACAACAAATAATATTTTGTAAGACTCCCAGGTCCCGTAGGAAGTGAATAGGAAGGCTGGAGATCAGGCTTAGAGGACAAGGCTGCCAAAATCACAGCCAGAGCTCCCTTACCATTACGGTTAAGTTGCTTTAGAGGCTCTACTGGCATGGAGGCCAACTCGAAACTACTCTGCTTTTACCCTCGGCCCTTAATAAACTTCCCTTTCTGTCCCCTGATCCAGATTTAATGTTCAAAGGAAAACATCCTGTCAGCTGAGCCTAGATCTCAGTCTCTGCTCCAGCCACCCGGGGACAGGGAGAGGGGCCATCTTCCCTCTTCAGAAGAGGTGCATCCTGCCCTGATGAGGACCCTCCCCTGGGGACAGCTCCCTAGATGAGGAGGAAGATTTGGATCTTACACCGCCAAAGCAACAAAAAGGTCCACTCAGCTGACTGAAAGGATTCTGAATCATTGTGTCCAAGGACAACCTTCTGCAGAATTTTAAAAATATAAATAAGGTAGATTACTGTGTATGAAATGATTTAGATAACATTTTTTCCCATGAAGGTGAGATGGATTGAAATACAATATATTCCTGCACAGCTATCATCTCCTAAACTGCTAGAAATACCTTTGGTGTCAGAGTCTTGTCATCAGAAGCCTGAGAGCTGAAATCTAGAATTACATTTCCTTTTCTTCCCCCCTGCTACAAAGAAGTTGGTAAAAAGATGCATTTCCTCCCTTAGGTCAGCTGTGTCCTGTTTGAGCATCTGTGTTTCAGGAAAATAATGTGTGTAGAAACAGTTTTCAAAAATGCATGCTAATTAAAAAAAAAACTAAAAATATGTTTGGTTACCACTTTGTACAGCCTATTGAATTGGACTGTGAATGGAAATCTAATTGCCATCCATTTCTACTGGAGCCTTCTATGAACATTACATTTTCATTAAAAAGAGAAGTCAGCTATAGCTCGTGTTGTTCATGCTGAAATCGTAAAAAAATTAACGACTAGTTGGTTGTTTAATAATTTATACGTTTTTTTTAAAGACCATTAGAAGAAATAAACTAAGCCCCAGGCACAGAAAATATCATTTGTGTTAACAAAAGTAAAAGGAACATTTTGACTGAAGTGTTACAAATAACTCCCAGGTTTTGAATGATGACTACTCATTAGCCTCCTATTCTTCACTTATAATCAGAGAATGTCTTCTTCATCACCTGCTTGTGTTACTGTGGGATTGGCATATAAATATTACCACTAGCAGGGCTGAATTTAAGGGCTGAGAGACCCTCAGCTTGGGTTGGAAGGGCCAGATTTAAACTGCACTGCTTGCAGAAAGATCTCTTCAACCCTCCATGCAGCCACAGGAACAAACAATGTTTTTTTCTAAACTTGGTAACTTGATGATAGTGGTTAGTACCCCTCCTCCTCCTCCTCTTTCTGTTTTTATTTCTCCAGTGATTTGAATGACCAGTATCCATTTGGTAAATTGGCCAGTCTATTTTTTAATGATTTGTATTTTCTTTTGATGAGCAGTTGTCCAAGAGAAGGGGTTCTTCCAGCAGTTCAGATCATGAGATTTGCAGTTAACGTAGTAAAAGCACATGAAGATGCCAGATTACTTCTAAGGCACAGCTTCAGTCAATATCTGCCTTAAGTCTAATGTCTCTGATGCCCAACTAATTAAGTCCAGAATTCTATCCCTGGACTTCAAATGCCTTCACTCCATTGCCTCTGTCTGTCTTCTGATTTATTTATTCTACTGTTTCCCTGTATGGACAGTAGAGACAGTGGTTCTTAATCCTGGCTGCACATCAAAATTATCTGGGAAACTTGAAGAAACACTGATACCGAGAGTGCACTGTATGCTAATTGAATATGAATCTGGGGATGAAGCATTAATTTGTTATTCTGTTTTGGGGTTTTTTTGAAAAGCTCCTTATTTTGGTTATTTATTGTTATAAAAACCAACCACCCCAAGACTAATCTGTATAAAAAAGCAACCATTTTATTATGTCCCAAATTCTGTGGGTCAAGAAGGTACACAGCATTGATGGTGTGTCTCTGCTCTGCGGTGTTTGGGGTCTTGGCTGAGACAACACAAATGGCTAGTCTGTCTCAAACAGCTAAGTGCTGGAATCATCTGGAGGTTTCTTTACTCATTTTACTGCCACTTAGGCTGAGATGACTCACCGGCTGTGCTCAGCTTGTACTGTCAGCCAGAGTGTCTACACATGCTTCTCATTGTAGCTTGTGCTTCCTTGGAGCATGGTGGCTCAAGGAAGTCAGATTTCCTGTAAGAAGCCCAGGGCTCCAGGAACAAATATCCCACTGAGCCTCAAAAGGCACATAGCATCACTTCCGCTGTTTTCTTTGTGGAAGCAGTAGTCGTAGTCCTTCAGATTCAGGGGGAAGGGTCCCGCCTCTCTATAAGGACTTGTATGTGGCTATACTCCCCTGCTAATTCCAGCGTACAGCCAGAGTTGGGAACAGCTGGATCCATTTCTTGTAACACTGATCTACAGAGCAGGGCTGGGACTTGAATGAAGTTGAGACACCTCAGCTGCACAAGTTAAGGAGGCAGTCACTTGTGGTCCTACAAGTGCCGGGGAGCACTTCCTTAGCTTTTGTGCCCAAGAAGGCTTCCTGGCCTAATCCTAATCCTGGCACTGCTAGAATGCTTGTATATGAATCATGGGTGGAGGGGGATTTAGATCCCTGAGTCTCTTGCTTTGATATTCTGATTCAGTAAGCCCAGGTGAGGAGTGGGAGTCTGTGTGTTCACAAAGAATCCCAGGGAACTGCTTTCAGATTCCATGTGCTCTCCTGGTGCCATGCCTTCGCTCATGCTGTTCCCTCTGCCTGTAATATCTTCCTTCTACTTCTGTCCGCTATGTGATATCTATTAATTTTAAGGTCCATTTCAAATACATCCCCTTTTATCAAGCCTTTCATGGTTCTGACAGCCAGATTATAAACCTAAGAAGCCCACAGCATGTTTCATATGCCATAAGACACTCACATTTTGTCCTGTATTGTGGTTGTCTGTGAGCTTTTAAAAAGAATATATTCTCTTAGGAGGACAAAAAATGAACATCTGGATCCATTCCTATTAATTCTTACACTGAGGGTCTTGTTAAGACAAGGTACTATATTCTGTTTGATTCATTCTTGCTCCCAAATAGTTAACTTTGTAACCCACACAGCAACTGGCCTGCACCTTGCACATTTTAGATGCCCCATAAACAGCAGATATCTCCCCTGATGAAAGGTGAGATTTCCATTTTTGAGCCTTCTCAGAGCCCTCAATTATTGAATTACTACACTAGTTTAAATTCTTAAGCAAATATAGGGACTGCATCCTTCATTGTGACTTCAACTTTGAAGAACTTCTCCATAGCAAATGTTCTTTTGATGCTTACTCTATACAGAGTGAATCACACTGCCTTAGTGGATGGCACTATCACATTTAAGCCTCAGAATCCTTTGAGGTAAGCACTATCATTGGGACCATTTTATTGATGAAGAAAACTGAGGCTTAAATGTTTGGCATTTTGCTAGATTGCAAGATAGAAGTAACTAAGGCCGGTTTCCAACCCAAGCCTGGTTTCCAAAACTGAATGATTAACCCCTGAACTGATGCGTTCTGTCCTGTAGCCCACCTACCTTTGAGGAGTGGGGTGCAGTCAGGTATGCCTGCATGAAAAGTAAGTTGGCAAATCCCTCTGGACTCATTGTTTCCACCACGGGATGAGCTCGGGGGGCGTCTTGTCTACGAGTTTTGGCTACGCTGGACAGCCCGCTTCCATTTGCCCCGCCTGACTGGGCTTACACCTCCCTCGCAGCACGGGGGCGAACAGGGGCTCCGCGGTGGCCAGTGGCAGTGCGGGGTGGGGGTCAGAGTCCGCTCTCCGGGGAGGGGCTCGGCGCGTGGCCACGCGCAGGGAGGAGACCTTCCAGGCGCTGTCAGCCGGAGGAGGAGGGCGGCGCGAGTTAGAGCGCGTGGGAGCGCGGAGGCCGGAGACGGGGAGGGGAGAGCGAGCCCGGAGACGGAGGGAGGCGCGCGGAGCCGGCACCGCGGATCCAGCCCGGCCGCGGGCGCCGTGCGCTGAGGCGAGGCAGCAGCGCGGCCGCGCCCCTGGCCCAGCTCGTGGGCCGCCCAGCCCCGCTCCCGCCCGCGGCTGCCAGGGCTCCCGAGGATGGAGGATTCCCGGGAGACGTCGCCGTCCTCCAACAATTCCTCGGAGGAACTGAGCTCTTCCCTGCAGCTGTCCAAGGGCATGTCGATCTTCCTCGACGTAAGTAGCGAGGGAAGAAGTTCGATCTGTGGACCCCCGGCGTCTGTTCCAGTCCCCGGCAGGAGGGGGTGGCCCTGGTGCTGATCAGTGGGTTTGGCCCCCAGAAGACCGGAGAGAACTCCTCTCCCGCTGTCAGTCCACCAAAGCAAATGCCGAAAAAATGACCGGCACTCAACTTGTACCCAGGGCTGCACACCTGCAGCTCGGGGCTTAGCAACCCTTAACGAATTCCAAAGTTAAATTTTCCTAACAGCCTGCGTTTTGATAGGGGCTGGTTGGTAATAAAACAGTCTCGGAATAAGGCGATGTTAAAGGGGCCTCAGGGGGAGGGCGAACACTGACCCAATTCCTGTCTAATCTGCCCATTTGCAACCCCGAACTCGCTAATGCCCTAGGGCTGTCGGGCAAGCAGTGGAGATGGCCATGCGGCGCCATCCTCCCCCGTCCCCCAGGAAAACAACTGCTTTGAAAACACATTTGTTTGTCTTTTTACAGAGGTAGCCGAGATTCCTTTGATGATGATTCTTTTTTCACTGCCACCTCCTATTATTCCGTTTTTCTTCCCTGTTACTCGCCTCCTTGTGCCTCTCCCCGTGGTAATTACTATTATTGTCATCATCGGTTCTGGCTTTGGACTGTCCTCCTGTTGGTCCTCCCCCTCACTTCGGTATTGATCTCTTCCTCCATTTCTCTGATATGATGATCATTCTTTTCATTCCTTCTTTGACTTTCTCTGTTATTTTTCTGCCCTCATGCTGTGGTTACTGCCTTGATAGCATTTTATTTATTTATTTCTCAATTTTGCTTTATCTCCCTTCTTGCTGTTTGTTTTTTTTTGGGTTTTTTGTTTGTTTGTTTTTTGTTTTCACTCTGTTGCCAGCTCTTTCCTCTGCCTGTAGGGTTGGTGGTTTTCCTGCCCCCCTCAGTCGCCTTGTCAAGCTCCCAGCTCTCCCAGACCCTCCGCTGTGACACTCATGCTGTCCCTCGAGGTAGATTCTGGCTCAGCAGAGACAGTTCTGGCAGCTGCTTGCTTAGGCATGGCAGAAAATGGACAGAGGGCATTGAGGAGGACCGTGTGCTGTCTCTACCCTTCTCTCAGTTATCACTTCTGATTAAAATAGAAGTGAAGGGGGACAGGGGTCAAATACATGTATTGTGGAGCAATGAAAATAGGAGGAAATAAAATTGTTCGTATCACAGTGGTGAGGAAGAGATAATGAAGATAAGCGGGGGAGGGGCGTGTCAGTGAGGAGCCCTCCCAGGTTTATTTTGAGTGGATTAGCTGGAATCTTTTAACTGGGAGAGAAACTCCTATTGCTAACTAAACCTGGTCTAAGGCAAATGGTATAGATAAGGTTCAACAGTGTCTACACCTGGAGATGCAGGCATTCGGGGCTGGCCTTCTTCCCAGCAAAACATGAGTGTCTGATACCCATTCCTTCACTCAGTAGGATATTTCTTCATGAGAGCGCATCTCTGCTTGGCTTTGGGTCAGATAATGTTATTGGGGCTAATAGTGTAGCTGTTAGATGTTTTTCCTTGTAAGTCCTGTCATTCAGGGCCATAAGCCCTTGAGGAGCTGAGCTAAGAGAAGGAGGAGGCACACAGCACACCTGGGAAGGAAACCCTCAGGGGTAGTCAGGGCCCCGGAAAACCGGGTCTGTTTCGAGGTGAATGGCTAAGCTGCTATGAAGCTTAGTCAAAGAAGGAGGGCAAGCGGGGAGTTTCCATTCATTCTGACCTGATCTTCACTTTATCCACCAAGGATATCAAGTGTTGCCCTGTGACTTTTTAAAAGCAGTAAATAAATCCTTTTATACTGTGGACATAAATGGGTTGAGCTATATAAATGGAAGTCATCCTCACTGATACATACACCAGTCTTGGTCTAAGAGTTCAAACTGTTATTTTAAAAAAAAAGAAAAAAGGGTAATTCAAATCTTATTCATTATAATATATGCACGATTGTTCCCAAGTTCTGCAAATAAACAGCATCAGGTCCCTGTCATGAAGGAATGTGTCCTCTCTGAATAGAACACCCTTACCTTCTATTTCTAGAATGTAACAATAAAAATATAAAGCTGATTTCACATGAGAGGTGTTGACATGCTTGTTTGCCAGGAAAATGCCAGAATCTGTTAAAAAAAAAAACAAACAACAAAACCCTGCCATTAGATTTTATCTCAAACAGAAAAGATTTTGTTTACACTTTTCTTTGAGATATTTTGTGAAAAATCTAGCACTCTGGTGAAATATGTGATCTGAAAAAGGATTTGTTACTTGGGGATTTTTGAATTATTCATTCCTGAATCATGTTGCTTTTAGCAAAAACAAAATGTGAAATATAAATGCATAATTTATTTGATTAATTTTAACATTCTAGTAGCATTGCTAAGAAAAATTGTTTTTTAAATTCTATTTAGATTATAATAAGTAGGTGATAGATATTCCCTCACCCGAAGAGAAACAGAAATGAAGCCAATTAGAGGCTTCTGCATCACACAGATGAATTTCCAACTCTGAGGAAAACTCTGATTTCCCGTGTTTATATTCCAGTGCTACTGGAATAGTCAATCCTCTAAGAAAAGATTTACACTGCTTCTGAAGGTATTGTTAATTCCATGACTAGATATGTCCAGCTGGTGGTAAATAGCCATAGACCACAAAATCAGAGAGAGATTTATTGCACCTGTTGTGTTTTGCTTTCTTTTCCTTATCTCTGAACTAACAATAATGATCAGTATGATAATTAATTCTAAAGGTTGCTGTATTAAATGAGAATTCATAGCATAGAAAACTGGGGGCAAAAAAGGAAATGTTCTATATAAATTTGAACTGTTACTGTTACATCAGTGTTGTAAGCTAAATGCCTAAAAAAACAGTGGCCAAGTCCACAAACTAACAGAGAGGCTATTTCCTTATAAATCTGATTTACATGACTTTCTTTCTAAAAAATGACAGAATTCAGTATCAGGTCATCATAAATATTCCTGAATACACGTTGGGGGGCTTAGCAGCCTCTGTGCTGTTCTGAGGCAGGAGCCCTGAGGCAGGCACAGTGCATTTGCCTTGGGCCCACCTACCCCCACAGGATGGGCTGAGCTGGCACACGTCCACGCAGCAGCACAGAAAGAGTGGGACAATGACAGCCGTTTCCCTTCCTACACCAGCGCTGTATCTTGTCCCATCTTATTTCATTCCAGGTAACAGACAATAAACTCTCATTCAGAATACTAGCCTTGCTAACATGTAGGCCCTCTTTTGAATCATTACATTAATCATCTCTGCTGCTGTGCAAAGAGAGAAGAACCTTCAAAGCATCCCCCAAAACAAGATAAACCTCAAATGAGGTTATTTGCACCATCATCCACATGATGCCACTGTCCAAACCCAGTTTTCCTTTGACTTTTAATGGAAAGGAAGTGATCTTTCCTCACTTCACTGGTTGGGCAGATGTGGGGCTGAAAGGTCGTGAAGGAGAAAGATGATTTGACTATTTATCTTCCCTTCTTTACCCCAACCATGCATGCACATCTGTGTATACCCTGAATAAAAGGCACAGTGCCCAGATGGCCAGGGACTTGGGGAAATGAATAAGTTTCCCTTTGCAAAGATACTTAATTCCAATGCCACACACACACACACACACACACACACACACACACACACTCATCTGTATCAGAGAGGAGATGAGACAGGCAGAGGACATCAGAGCAGAAACAACTTTCCGGATAAAATGGTTCTGTGACTAAATTCTGTTACAGACAATATACCCCCTATCTTGCCTAGTGCACAATTGATAATTTGAGTGAGATTGCCCAGTTGGGAAATGGTAATTAACCCCATCCTTACCTACCCTAATTGGCAAGGCAAATGTCACTCTATTACTTTCAAAAACCAGAAGAAATAGGGAAAACTGAATTTCACTGTTATCATATGTTAAAAATTGTTTTTCCTCACAAGGCCTACCCTAGGCAAAATTAAGAAGATGACTTCTCACTGGGTCATTAGATATATTCTAAGTACCTTTTCTCCCTCCAACTTTCCATGCCTACTTCCCAGCATCCTTTCTCATGGTGACTGGGGGACTGGTAGCAAAACAACTTGCTGCTTTTCAAGGCCTACACACTATGACTCACCCACTAGGTTTTCCCTTCTAGATGATACTCCATATTGTGGATGAGTCTCAACTTCCCACTCTGCACCCCACTTTCTCAGTAATCCATTAAGTGACTTACTAGTTTAACCTGGTACATGGTAGGAGATACTTAGCAAATCTTCAGTAAATGGTATTTGTCCCTTTTTTAGGCCTCCAAGATAACGTTTGCATTGTAACATCTGCCTTCCATAATTTCAAGTGAAAAATGAGGACTTTCAATCAAGGCCATTAAAGAATACCTTTTAGGGTAAAGGATGCTATTTCATAATTCTTAAATTGTTGCAAAGATGTAGCACCACCCACATTTAAGTGTGACCATAATACTGAGATTTATTTACTATCTATCTTATGATAGAAACCAGTGAGATTAGCCAATCTACATTACTATGGTAGCATAATGTAGCGAACTCAGTTCTCATCTGCATTACATTTTTTATTAGTCTGTGGGCTCAGAGGCAAAATATGCAGTAGAGATAGTTCTGTTTATATTTAATTACAAAGAACTATCTGAATAACAAAAGCCACTGTCTTAATTTCATCTCTCGGAGGCTGAATGCCATTTAAGATAGTCCCTTATGAAATGAAATGACAGAGAAATCCTGGGTCCAAGTCTCTGGTGTGTGGTTATTCCTATTCTAGTCACTTCAAACTCATAAGGACACAACAGAGCTTGAAATAGAATCTTAGAGTATATCAGAGGTAAGAAATGGGCTGCATTTCATGTCTCTCCCTCAGCTGAGGCTTCAAAGTTTCAGAGGAGAAACTGACCATGACGGGGAGATGAACCTCCAAAATCTGCACTAGAAATTACCTCTGTGGTGTAAAAAGAATTTGTGTCTCATTTTGCTGTAAGCATAGAAGCTCTTACTATTGAAAGCAGTCATTTCATAATAATTAAATGAATTTAGCTTAAAAAGGGAAACCAACTTCTTATGTACACAAGTCGACATGATACATGCTTGTTGTTGGAAATTTTTATAGATGACATTTTTAGTAGTACTAGTAGTATTTTCTAATAAAAATTTATTAGTGATTAGATTTATCCATACTTCATCTCTACAAAGTCAACAGAAGGAAAAGAGGGTAATACTGCTGTAGAAAACAGAGAATTTTGGTAATAAAAACTATTGCTCATGTTTCAAGCTGGCCACCAAGAAGTGATGACTTAAATATAAGAGTATCTCCGGTTACTTAACCACAGCTACAAATTGCTCAAAAAAATGCTCCTCAGGTGCCCCTTTTCCATGATTCAAGGTTGTGAATATCTTTTTTCAATAGGATAAAGGGACATTTTCTTTGGTACTGTATGTAACACAGTTGTCTATTAATAAGACTTTTTTTCTATCAGCATATAGTATCAAGATTGATTTGATTGTTGCTGACAGAAAAACTAACCAGAACTATCTTAAGATTTAAAGAAATAATAATTGCTGGCTCCTGTAATGAAAAGCAGAGATCATCTTGTCAGGACAGCTTCATCAGAAACTCAGGGAGTGTCATCGGGTTCCAGTTAGTCACAGTTTCAGGACACTGCTTTCTTGAGTACTGGCTATTTCCAGGTTACATAGTGTGTCAATTTCCTAGGGTGCCATAATAATGTCCTACATACAGGGTGACTTAAACAACAAAATGTTTTCTCTCAGTTCTGGAGGCTCGAGGGGTGAAATCAAGGTGTGGGCAGGACCGCACGCCTTCCAGAGGCTCTAGGGGAGAATCTACAGCCTCTCTTCAAGCATCTGGTGCTGGCCCACAGCCCTTTGCCTGCCACGGCTTGAAGCCGCATCACTCCATCGTCATACATCCTTCTGTGTGTCTCTGCATCTCTTAATCTCTCTCTTCTTATAAAGTCACCAGTCATTGAATTTAGGGTCCGTCCCAATCCAGTAAGACCTTATCTCAATTTAATTAACTCATCAGAGACTGTTTCCAAACAAGGTCACCTCCACGGTTACTGGGGGGGCGGGGGGTTAAAACTTTAGCATTTGTTTGGTGGCAACATGTTTAGCGCATGATGCATTTGATAACGGAAAGGCTGACAGCAGCTGCTTACCTGTATCTCCCCAGGTTCAAAGTCAGCAGAAGAGAAAGTGTGTCTCTCTTGACAATTCAAGCAAAACCAAGGTCTACTATTCACTAGCCTTCCTGTGCTCATGCCCAAGTGGCCACTGTGGCCAGAGCAATGAGACACCGCTTTGTCAGGCCTGAGTGCTCTGCCCAGCCCTGAAGCACATGGGCTGAGGGTGGAGGAAAGATTGGTTTCCCAGAAGAAAATTTGGAAACCATTATCAAAGATACCCCATGGCTAAGCAGTTCACATCCCTCAAAGACAATTTAAAATGGGTCCAGGATAATAGAATTACATGGAAGTAAAATAAAGTATAGTATAGACACATTAGCTCTACTTATCCATAATTTGTTATTTTTTGCTTTTTCCCAGTTTTATTGAGATGTGTTTGACTTACATTAAGTTGCACATATTTAAAGTGGAAAGCTGATTTTTTACATAAGTACACCCCTATGAAACCATTACTACAGTCGAAATAATAAGTACATTTACTGCTCCTGAAAGTTTTCTCAGGTCCTTTTATAATCCAGCCCTCCCTGCCCTGTTCATTCTTATGTGTCCCTTAATCTGCTTTCTGTTACTGTAGATTTGTTTGTGTTTTCTAGAATTTTATATAGATGGAATCATAAGTAGGTATTCTTTTGTGTCCAGGTTTTTTACTCAGCATAATTGCTTTGTGGTCTATTCAAGTTACTGTATGTATCAAGAGTCCATTCCTTTTTTTTGCACAGTAGTATTCATTTTACAGATATACCTCTACTTGTTTGTCCATTCACTTGTTTATGGACATTTGGGGTGTTTTCTGTTCTGGACTATTATAAAGAAATCTCAATTGGGAAAGCTTTATATAAAATTGGAATTTCTTTTATTATATATTAATAAGGGGTGAATTATGTGTGAGTATAATGTTCACTACAATACTTAGAAAAAAATGGTGATACATTTTTTCCTTTGTCTTTTCCAGATACTGAGAAGAGCAGACAAAAATGGTAAGATGAAAGTCTACAATTTCTGTTTATTAATCTCTTACTTTTTAGATCACCTCATGAAGAACAATGTGGAAGACAGAGGAGAACCCAAGAAATTAATATGTAAAATGTCAGCTGCTTGTACTAGAAAGAGTCATAGGCAAGTTCATGGATCCAGATATTCATGAGAATTTGAGTTATTTATATTTGACAAAAAGATGGAATTTACGCCTTCAAAGTGAGGAGCTATCATAGCTCTGGATTTTTTATGCTTTAAATTATTCTAAAATAATAATGGCTTTTAGTCCTTGAGTGTCTACTATGTTCTAGGCATTTGGCCAAGTATTTTTTGTGCATTACGTCTTAGAGTTAATAAGCTACTGATCTGGGACTTGGACCCAAGTCTGTGTGGCACCAAAGTCTGGGTTTTCCACAATGAACCTCAAACTAGCCTTGGGGTCAGCCACTGCACTCTAAGGTGTTTACCTGAAAGCATGCATTGCCAGACACTCATCTCTACTCCACAGCTCTGGGCCACAGCTCCCCCATTTGAAGTTTTTGCACTGTAAGTGATAGTCTGTAGAGACAGAGAAGTAGGAGAAGCTAGAAGGAAAAACTGCTCTGTCAGAGGAACTACGGTTTAAATGATGCCTCCACAAAGTCCAATTGTAAACTGTCATAAGCAGTATCTTTTGACTTCTTTATGCCACTACAAATTTTCTTCATGGAAAACCAAATCAGAGCTTATTGAGTTTTTGCTGCTGCTATAGTATATGTACATAACAGAGCTATATTCCTGGCAGGAGTTTCTTGACAAATATAGGATACAAAGCATCCTTTCATTTTCTCAAAATCCAATTTCTTATCTATGGGGAGGGATTACAGGCAGAATCCAGATTTGACAGATTAAAGACATATGTTGTAGTCTAGATAGCCTTTAGGCAGCCCAATCAAGAAAAGCTTGACTGGCACAATCTAAACAACATAAAACATATTAATCCAAAGAGCAATAAAATAGTGTCCCAAATCTTGATAATACTAACTGTGCATGTCCAAAATATTTTTTGAACTATGTGCAATGATTGATATATTATCAATTCATAGCATTCATAGGGGCTTTTTTTCCCACTTGATTAATTTTTAAAACAGATATAAGGATGCTGTCATCTTGTCTTCTTATTCCACTCATCAGCTTTATGCCTGACATCCAGTCCCAGTGATGCCTAAAATACAATCAAATAGTGCTTGTGTCTCTGTGCTACTTGCCCCGTACATCAGCAGCCATTTCCTGTTGAGAAATGCCTGATTTTCTTCTCTTCCCAAGCTTCTAGTTCTCTCAGGCTGCACTTCCCTTTCCCTGGACTCCAAGGCTTTGATCAAGGGTCTCTATTACCTTTGTCTCCATCACTCTTCTTTCCATCAAAACTTGCCTCTTTGGTGGTCCACTATCAAAATCCATAGCCATAATAAAAAGCACCTGAAAAACCAACTCACATGATGTAATGTATCTTATGATAACCACACATGTTATGCTATATGGAATGGCCATTTGCATGGCAGCCCCATGTGGTCCTGTTCAGCCCATGTTTTCTCACCTGCCTCCTCCCTCCATATGATTCTTCTCACCTCCTTGATGTTTGTCCTAATCCGGATCTGAATGTGCTGTCAGAATTACCTGCCTTCTGCTCTTATTCCCACAGTCTTTACCACACATCCTTCTCTGCAGCCCTCTGAAGCATCACTCCATCCATCACACTTCTGTGGTGGTGTCCCTGCTTTTACCTCTACCTGGTCTAACTTTTCCATTCTTTGCTAGCATGGTAACTCACATGTATTACTTACGTTCCTGCTTAAAGCCTCCTTATCTGGAAATCCTTCCCCTGCTCCCTTGGCAGGGCCCTATCCTCTCTGTGTTCTCTATACTTTGGCATGTATTGATTACTGCCTTTTGGTGAGGACTGGAGTTGCTTGCTGGCCATTCTATTTCTCTAAGCCACATATGCCTCTCTAGGGCAAGGAACTTGTCTCACGAATAGACAGTATGTTCATTCAATATTAGGTACTCAGTAGATGTTCATTTAATGAGTTCATAATGATTAAGGTATTCTGCTCCATTATCCATCTTCCTTCCATCTGTCCACTCTTTCCTCTGCTTTTCATCCTGTTTTGCACATTCTCAGTGTAAAGTGAGGGGGATCTGCATTTAAATCTCAGCTGTGCCACCTAGTAGCTTTGTGGGTTTAAGTAATAAACCCTGCACCCTCATCTTTCTCTTCTATAAAATAGAGATAACATCTACCTGTGTCATAGGGTTATTATAAATAATAAATGAGATAACATATGTGAAGTCCCCAGGGCAGTACATGGCATGTAGTAAGAATTTATACCTGCTCATTTTACTGCTATTATTATGATTAATATTATTAGTATTACTACTGAAACCTTGAACAGTTTTTGTGTTGTGGTTCCTTGGCTATCAAAGACACCTGGTGACATTCTAGTCATTTCTTTTTCAGTAGAGGCTAGTGGAAAAAAAGGCTATTTGCCATACTGTACACAAAAATGATAATAGTAATCTACTGTAAATGAGAAAATACCAGCATGAAAAGAATCTTTCTGTACCATGTGTTCATCACATTTTGTATTTGCAAATAAACAGCTGCTACATGCACTTGATCTCTGGATAACAGATCCTCATATGATAGAATCCCTTATGGGCTGCATAATTTGTGATGGAATAACAAAAAAGGAATAAGAGGTGGTAAGCAGTATGATAGTTAGTCTGTCAGCGTACAGATTTAACTTTTAGAATCTATCTGACATGAAAGAGAAGCAACTAGAGAAATGGGGAAAAATACATGATTAGTGACTAGCTAAAAAAATGGTCTCTTGGAGAGATATTTTTGGTTTTCATTGTTTTCAAATCATAGACTAGAATCTTAGACATAAAGGTGAACCTCAAATAGAATTGCTTAGGAGAGATGTGAGTGGTTTGATCTAAAGAGCCAAAATTAAACCCAGAAATTCAAAACTCTTGAGAAATCTTACTTACAGGCAGGCTGAATGAAAATGGAAATGATACATGGGTATTTGTAAAATTTGCAAAAAGATGTTTTTTAACCTTAGGCAAATGAAAAGACTTTTAGTATCTGCTGATGTACACTTGCTAAGATCTGCTGCCATTCTCAATCAGCAAATAAGTAGGCTACATGGGTAGTATTTTTGATCCCAATGTAATGACTAATCTCTGTGAAAGATCATTATAGTTCTCCATAGCCTTTAATCCATTCTAGCAGCCTGAATTGTAAATTGGCACAACTGCTGTGGAAAGCAGTATGGAGGTTCCTCAAAAACTAAACATAGAAATATCATTTGATCTAGTAATTCCACTTCTATGAATTTACCCAAAGAAAACAAAATCCCTGATTTGAAAAGATATATGAACCCCTATGTTTATCACCACACTGTTTGCAATAGCCAAGATATGGAAGCAACCTATGTCTCCATCAATAGATGAATGGATAAAGAAGATGTGGTGTGCACACTGCAAGAAAGGACTAGCTGTTACCAAAGGGAAGGGAATGGGGAGGGTGGGTAAGGGGGGAGGAGAAGGGGATTTGGGGCATTATGATTAGCACCCATGATGTAAGGGGGTCACGGGGAAGACAGTGTAGCACAGAGAAGACAAGTAGTGAGTCTACAGCATCTTACTACACTGATGGACAGTGACTACAATGGGTTGTGGGGGGGGAAGACTTGATAATATGGGTGAATGTAGTAACCACAATGTTGCTCATGGGAAACCTTCATAAGATTGTTTATCAATGATACCTTAATAAAAATAAAAAAAATGAGATGGTATGTATACACAATGGAATATTATTCAGCCATAAAAAGAAAAGAAATCCTCCCATTTGCAACTACATGGATGGATCTAGAGGGTATCATGCTCAGTGAAATAAGCCAGAGAGGGACAAATACCGTATGATTTCACTTATTTGTAGAATATAAAAACAAAGCAAAACAGAAAGAACAAAATAGCAGGAGACTCATAGACACCGAGAAGGGACCAATGGTTACCAACAGGGAGGGGTTGGGGCTGGTGGTGGAGAAGGGTGGGAGGGGTATAAGGGGGCACAATAATTCACAATACAATATAAGTTGATCATGGGACAATAGGACAGCATGGAGAATATAGTCAATGATTCTGTACATTTTTCTACATTGATAGTAACCACACTAGAGGGGGTGAGGTTTTAATAATATGGGTAATTGTTGAACCACTGTGTTGTACATTTGAAACCAATATAAACTTGTATATCAATGATAGTTCAATTTTTTAAAAAGCCACTCATTTAGTAAATGTTTGTTAAATTTTGCCTGTAGAAATGCTGTGTAAGTTGTAAAATGATAACCAAACACAAGATATTGTTCCTTTTCAGCAGAAGGTGAGGACCATCTTATTCTTTTGGCATCCAACATTGTAGATGCCTGTAGCACCTGCTGGGCTGCCAGTGGCAGAGAGAACAGCTATGTACAAAGTACTGCATAGGCTTTAGGGGCCTAGTTGCCAGTTTTTGAAAGAAGGAAGAAACACTGATTTAATGAGTGCCTGCTATGTATTTATCCACTGTCCTTTCTGTCTGCCTTAATCACACTGTACGCCAGACTTTGGCACCTGATGCATACTGTATTCCATCATATCTAAGCCACCTTCAGTTGTCAAGGGCACCATTATTTTATGTACCACTAAGAAAAAAGAACTCTGAGGATTAAACTATGATATCTGCAGTAGTAAAATTCATCCCAATTTAAGAGATGCTAAAATGTGAAAAAATGTGTATTTTATAATCAACAAAATACAGACTTCAATAAACATTTTCTTATTGAAAAGAAAAAAAAGAAACTACCACAGCCACCTTAGCCTTCAGCAGTCACCACCCTGATCAGTCAGTGGCCATCAACATCAATACAAGACCTTCTACCAAGAAAAATAGTCACTGAAAGCTCAGATAATGGTT